GTAAGTTAAGTCATCGTCTAAGACCACACCAAGAAGTTTATGCTTTTCAACTTGTTCTATATTTGATCCATTGATTGTTAAGTTGAATTGGGATTTTTCACTGTTCATGCGTTTCCGTAGGCGTTTACCAGCGACAAGCATGGCCTTTGTCTTGCAATCATTGACAAATAACTTATTTATCCTAGACCACTGACTGATAGAACTCAAGTCCTCATTCACCTTGCTAGATAACACAGGGCTATTTACCTTTGAACTTAATGATAAAGTAGCATCGTCTGCGTAGATTGATACTTTCGAGTTTGGAATGTAAAGTGGCATGTCATTGATAAAGATCAGGAACAAAATTGGTCCCAAAATGGAACCTTGTGGGACACCATGCTGTATCTCTAGAAGAGAGGATGTTGTAGAGTTCACTTTAACATATTGTTGTCGGCCAGATAAATATGAGGTAAACCACTGAAATGCCAAATCCTCAAATTGGTACATTTGCAGTTTTCTAAGAAGAATACCATGATTAATGGAATCAAAAGCCTTTTTAAAATCGATGAATAACAAGCCGGTGACTTTGTCAATGTCCATAATATACTCTATCCCTCTTAAAAGAGTCATTAGCTGCTCTTTAAAGAATTTTTCCAATCGTTCGTGGAGATCTCTCCACCATCTCTCAACTCAATCTTGTTGCTGGTTGAAGGGCCATATATAATGGAATCTGTTGGCTCTTCCAAAATATCAAACTGGTTGATAAGATAAACATGTATGGTAGCCATTTTCCCCGTTTCAGTCCCTTTATCAATTCTCAAATTTCTTGGAAGAATTCCCGCATTGTATAGATATTTTAGGTACATTTTCCCTATTAATACAGGGTCTGAGTTTGAGTAGCACACGAACAAATACCGTATTTTGCGGGAGAAAGTATCATTGCAGCCATAAACGCCGAGGGGAAATGTATTATTCTGATATTCGCACGGTTTATCATGCCCATCTAAAGATATCACCCATAATGGCCCTTCTGATGTGAAATGTCCCTTCGGCTTTTTCTTTTTTCTTTGTAAATTTCTGGCTTCCATCCCCTCTGTATCCAACTCGGATATCACATTGTAAACAAGATATCGTGGGACCTTAATGTCGTGTTCTGTCCTCAGTTTCTGGTTCATTGCTCTGTAGCCTAAGAGTTTGCCAGGTCCCTGTAATTCCTTTTCAACAGCCTGTGATACTGTAGCAATAGAAGTATCATAATCTACATAGTAAATATTGAAATGGCGTAGTCTTTGTTCAAGTGTTGCTAAACTCCAATTGTAGTTCGGATAATCACGCTTTACGAAGTCAAAAACTTCAGATCTCTTCATGTTTTGGCTAACATACTTTTTTAAATCACTTTCAAGCTGCTGATTACTTTTCCAGTCGTTTGAAAAAGCCATATTTTGAAAACATTTTTAATATTTTAAATCACAGCCGCCATTACTGTGTTGTGTGATGCATCATGGGTATCTCTCTTAGAACCCAGTCTTTTCCGAGTGATAACACTGGTCCGTTCAAACGGACCATCGTTATCTTTTTTTTTTTTTTCATTCGGCTTTTCGTAATTTATTTTCTTTCTTTCTGTTTTTTCTTTTTTTTCTTTTCTTTTTCTTTTGTAATGGCCCAGCATTGTCAATTTTTTTTTTTGCTTTCAGTGAAAATTATTTTAGTTTATGAAATGATCTTGTTTTCAGTATTAAATTTAAAATGAAATCAAAAATGGCATTTAGATTACAAATAAAAATAAACTTAGCAAATAAAGTACATGTAGATTTTGTTTTACACTAAAATCCGACGTGAAAATGTAAGTAAAAACAGAATATGCTAAGAAAATATGCATGATAATGATGGGCCACCATACAGGATTAAACACCAAGTGTTTTGTTGGTGTCATGGTCTTTAATTTGAATTTAATTGTGTTAATAAATCCATAATTAATGAACTTTCATTTGGTCTTACAGAACATTTAAGGTTTATTCTATTGCAATTAATTAATCAATACAATTATGATGAATTATTGTCTTCACTCGCTACTTGCTTTACATTTTTCTTCAACCGATGTTACATTCATAAAGTTTCATTGGTGCAGTACACATTTGGCTGCATTTAGTCTCTCTAGCTCATTTATCTTGGCCTTGTCAAAGGTAGTATAAGCCGTTGGTCTAAGTGTTCAATTAGTGTTCTTGGATTATTGAATTGGTCTTGAAATCTTCTTGTTTGTAGTGTACTTTTCATCGTAGCATATTCTTCATATTATGCATCATCTTGGCCTCTTCTCTAGTTCTGTGCGTAGTTATTAAAGTCAAAGCAAGCAAATCGAATTGAATTTCTCCACGGACTTTTCTTCTTGTTCTTATGCTCTCCATTCAACAGCCATAACGTAATACTTCACGGATGAAATGGTTTTGTCTCTCATGTTGTGATTATGACAACATCGCCGGCTTTAGTATATTGTTGTGCAGGCACGATGTACTAAGTATTTTCCCTCGTATATTGACTATCTTCATTCTAGCGAGAGTAAATCTTTAAAGTAGTGTTTTGAGTAGGTTGTGCTTTCGACTACAAAAATTAGCGGACTATTGTAACGAACTTTAGAAAGCGCGCATTTAGATTTTGAAATCTAGAAGGATTGGATTTCTTAGCCAATCATATAAGCAGAATAGTGAAGTCATGCACTGTGCTCGTGATCAAAGTAAATAAAATTGAAATCCGATTAGCCACAACAATGCGCGCGAACTTCGATAATTCCCGCCAAGCATGTATCTTGTTTGGATTAGAAGCCGTTCCAAATCTTCGCGTTATTCAAAGACATTGAATGGACATTGAAAAGTTTTATTTGTGGTACAGCGATCTTATGGCGTTCCAATCCCGCCAAAATTCCATGTTGACATGAAACATTCAACTTCATGCATCAACATTCAAGTTTTCCAAACAACTTTCAAAGCCTCGTCCTTCAACATCACTGTTTCAAATCAAATTCAGTCATCTTGAAAGTTGAGTATCATTGTGCGTACCACGACCGCCAAAAAGTGTCGAGTGTCAGTATGAAGTAACAATCCACAGGTAACCCGGCTGTACAGCTAAAATTATTCCATGGGGGTAGTAGTTGTGTAAATTTTATTCGAATTTGTAATTCAAAATGGCGCAGCTTTCGCTGCCAAGTGTAATTGATGCTATCAATGAGCTCCAGGATGTAGTGGATTTATTGAGATTAAGAGTCGACTACATTAATAGAATGCTAGTCTCACTTGATGTACCCGATAATATTGTGTACACAATGAGTTCATTGTATGATCAGCTTAGTTTTCTAGTAATGCAAAACACATGTACAGATGGAGTCTCTTTAGTTAGAGGTCGTGGGAGACCCAAGTTTGATATATCACAGGAACAACTGTCTTTTCTATTAGATCAAGCGTTTAGTGTTCCAGAAATAAGTCGTATCTTAGGAGTAGGGAAGCGAACTGTGGAGAGAAGGCTTTCAACTTTTGGTTTGACTGTTACTGGTAAGTGTACTATTTACTATAGTCTTATACACTCGATAATTTGCAGAAACGTTGTAAAGATGTGCAAATTAGGGTAATTCCTATACTTGATAACCATTTTTTAATGAATTTAAAATTTCATAACTATATTTCCAAGTGTTTTTACAATATTACAGAATTCCAAGAGATCTAACAATCAAGGGATTTTGAGTCATATGGTTGCACCCTAAGAAGGTAATATTTAAGAACAGCACCCCAGATGACCTGTCAGCCAATAACGGGCATTTGTCGACCGTTGGTCGGCTGTTTCACATTTGTCTGTCGGCCGTTAGTCAGCCGTTTCAAGGCACGCCATCAGTCGGTGGTTTGTCGGTCACATAACAGTAGGCTGTCAGCTGCATAACAGTAGACTGAGGATGAGATGTCGGTGAGTTAAAGTGCTTATGAAGCGAAAAAATTGCCCCTAATATTTATTGCTAATATGAAAGAGCCGTTTAAAGCAGTCAAAATGACGTCTACAGTTTTTTTAAATATTTATTTTTGTTGCAAAGATATTTAAAGTTTTCCAAATATGCAAATTAAGGACATGGTCATCTGGGGCGCTGTTTTTGCGTATTACCCCCTAAGAATAGGTCCAAACTGGAACAATATACAAAAGTAAATGGATAAGATATTATCCCCTGTACATGTACCCATGTTTATAGGCGAGGTTACAAGAGGCGAATTTGCAACGACGATTTTTCGCGCAACGCTACTGCGCGAAAAGTTAGTGCCATGAAGCACGCGAGACTGAATGATTCTTAGCATAATTTCGCGAGTGTTTGATTTGAGGCAGAAAACCTTGCAACTTAAAATGACGAATATTTCTTAGCGTTCAGCGAGAAATCGTCAATGGGCTTCCTGAACTCAAGAGAAAGAGAATCCTCTTGACCCATACTTGAGGGCAATGTCAACGTTCTTTTCAAATTCTTCGTAGCCACTGTACTTTGATGGTAGAGTCAAACTATGGGAACAGGTCTCTGCTACTGGAAGGTCAATACTGCTATCAAACTTAACAAGCAATTTACTTGCCACAGAGGAGAGTGGGAGGATGTTCACTCCTGTCCAAAAGCAGCAAAGATCAACCAGGTCAGCCACTTCTGTAAAACAAGATTAGAAAGTTATGTAAGGAAACTTTGAATAAAATTATAAATTCACATAAGGTATCGTATATCATCTTGACTTCAACAAATCCAACATTGCACCTCTAAAGATTTGAAGTGGGCATGTATCCTTGCTTCAGTGCCGACATTTTGCAACTTGCTCCGCAATGATTTGGTTTCCACACACCATTTGCGATATAGCACATAAAACGAGCAGAAATTACTCACTACTCTAGTTTTAAATGTGTGACACGATTCAAGTCACATGCTGAAACATTTATGAAGTATTGTGCAACCAAAAAAGAGAAACATGAGTGTACATCCCCAATGTTTATGTGTTACCGTAAATATCATGATTCTCCCTACAACGGCTGCATGAAAAAGAAATTACTTTACGCATTTGCTTTAGCGAGCCTTTTGTCCAACACAATATTATCTCTGATGGAATAAGATAATTTCATAACGAAAAAATAACTTCATACCTTCCTTTCTTTGGTCGATAATGTCAATGTAACAAAGGAAAAATCCTGCTGTTTGAGCATTTTCGCTGGATCGTTCTTTTTCTTCGAAAGTTATCAATTCTTTTATGTCTTTACCACTAAACCTTCGGTTCTCTTCTCTCGGGAAGATAAGTTTGGCGATGGAGGGCCACTTAGCCATATAAGTGACAAGCTTCACCTCTTCCATTCCTAACAAAAAGTTTCTATGTTAGATGTTACTTATTGCTTTTGTACTTGCTATTGATTTTTTTCAGTAATTTATCCCGCCTCTTCCCATCCCCCCTTCCTACCAACTATCTCGCCTCCTGAGATTTGCTGGTTTCTCATGACAAGTTCATTCATGCACTTACATTGAAATATCTCTTGCATATTTCTCCAAAAGAAAGTCTAAGTTTAATCACTGAATAAAATCTCTGTCAGCAAGGGACTTGTCAGAAATTAGCAGGGGGAGGGTTAAAAATGGGGAAGGGTCATAACTTTTTGAGCCCTTAAAAATGGAGGGTCATGAAAAAACAGACCGTCAAAAGGGGAAATTTTTTTCATTCACGCTGATGGAGGGTCACATCATTTTCAACACCTAATTAAAAGTCTCCACCCCCCTCCCCCTGCTAATTGTTTACAAGTTCCTAAGGCTTCACTTTTTGTAACCTGCTCTTTGAATGAGCTTGTAAAGCACCTCCTTTGTTAGGTTATGTTTTGGTTTGCAGGGGCGTTGGGGAGGTGCGTTGGGTGCGGGATCACCCCCCTTTTGGACGACGGTGAATGCTTTTCTCAAATATAAAAGTTTTTCATGAATCGTTTTTGGGTCGGGAAGCTGTGGTTGTATTTGTGGCGGGAAAACTAGCACACCACGCGCGCCTGCTACTTTAATCGTTTTGGGGCCGGGAAGCCTGTGGTGGAGGCGAAATTCACACGCGCGCCCGCTCGCCCTGACACCGCGCGTGCTTTGTAAGTTATGTAAATAGCTTAATCTAAATAAAGCGCTCGTTGCATGCTGGAAAATATGGGAATACTTCGAATGCTCCTTTAACGGTCTTTAATCGGCAGTACGTGATCGGATTCCCATAGCTGACTACAGACCATTTTGGCTACCATCAAAAACCGCACCCCCTCTTTAAAAAAGCTGTATTCGTCCCTGGTTTGATTGCTTGGAAGATCCCATGAACAAACTTTTACCGGAATGACTATGAGCTAATGACAAGACGCTGAGGAATTGATAAGAATGCATTTCTTACCTTTTGCAATATCCTCGATTTCAAGTCTTCGCTTATGGATGATATGGTACAACAACAGACCCTGGATCATGAACTTCGTGTCACCGAATTCCAAACCTGCCTCGAACAAGTAAGGTTCCAGATTTGCTTTCAAGGCCTCCGGTATTTTCTCCTCGCTTTCCAAACCATCAAGCTAAAAGGAAGTAGAAGTAATGAATACATCAGTTATCAGTTTTCTTTTCCTTGAGTTAACTTGCAATTAAAAAACTGCCTCAATATCTTCCCCTGTGGCATCAGGACATATTTCTTCCAGGACATTTCTTTCTGTTTGACTAGATAAAAGAGAGAGAGAAAGAGAAAATTATAATTAAAAAAATGGAGGTTTTGACATTCAGTGAAACACGTTTAATGCCTCCTACAATCGAACAATGAACACCGCATGTGCCGTATCCCAAAACTGAAATAAACATGGTAGTAGTCGTATGCTTACCTCGGAGTACTGGAGACAGTTGCCATGCCTACATTTACACTGCCGTTATCGCCATCGCAATCCAGTATTTCGATGGCTGATTTGGGTGATGTGGGTGTGTGCTCTAAGACTTTCCAATCTAAAGTTCGTTGTTTCTAAGGGGACGCAAATTCGGTATAATTATAGAGTAGCTGATAGACGAGTATTTAGTACTTTCTAAACATAGTCGGAACAGCTTGAAGGATACAATTCATGGTAAAGCGCAAAACACTTACTTTAGCAGTTTGAATTGCAACTTGATGTTCCTCCTCAATGTGGTCTCTCATGGTGACCATTGATACCTCAAGACCGCACTCAAGGCACCTAATCATTGGACTGTTATGGACCTGTTGATCATGGTAAACAGAATTTAATTTTTCGAGGCACAATATACTTCGGGTCAATCGTATTGATGGCTTATTATTGCTGTTGATTAGAAAATGGAAGTTATGTTTAGTTCAGTTTATTTGTCACAATTGTTATTCAAATGTTACAAAACATAAATTATTATATATATATATAATAATTTATAGCAGTTTGCAAAAATTCTGCAAAACTCAAATATCTCAGTATATCAATATACACTATCTTGCATATCCTCCAATTCTTTAAAAGCTTTGTTTTTCTCGTCGAAAAGTGAAACCAAATAACAAATAACCCTTAATATACACTATGTTGTAGAATTCTATCAAAAAAGAATATAAAAATTACCCATGATGCACCCGATATATTGATATATTGATATATTTGAATTTTGCAGACTTTTTGCAATTCGCTGTATGTATATATATATATATACCGGATCGCTAAAACTTTGACATTCATTGATATATATTTATACATATATGTCCCCTTTTTTCTATTGTATTTCCACAATTCTTTTGTACCGCTGGGAGGCCAGGAACACAAAGGACCATGAAATAGTCAGCAGCCTAATTGACCATATTATTTCCTTTTGTTTCTGTTTCACGGGTAAAGTCCAATCACGTTAACCCCTATCAAGATGCGAGATTAAAGAACCCGAGTTGCTGCATGCATGATTTTTTTGTTGCGTTAAATAGTTTTTTTGGTTTTGATCTTTTATCGCATGTATTGAAATGACAAAGCTGTAAGGATTAAGAGTTAAGCTACCTTTTATTTGTTCATCTTGAATCGTGTATTCCACTTGTACCGAGGATCGTTCAAGCTGAATGATTTATGTGCTTCTGCAGTTATGGTGTACAGTCAAGGTCTTCGTTGGCGCATAATGTTTGTAAAGTATGGTCACAACAGATCCCCTCAGAATATAGCGCGATATTTAAATGTCTCTCTTTCAACCGTATTCAGAATTATTCGGTAATTCCGAAGAACGGGGGATGTTTTATCTCTAAGAAATAATGGTAGGCCAGCTATATCAAGGTTATTGACAAGGGCACAAATGCTGATTCTGTGTGAGTTTGTCTTAAGAAACGGGACTGCCTATTTCAGAGAGCTATCTGATCATCTTGAAGAAACAACAGGCTCTCGATATTCAGCTCAAAGTTTGTGTAGACTGCTAAAGCGATGTGGTTATTCGCGCAAGGGGGTAAGTTTAGACGTGATATAATATAATTTCGTACATGTAACGAAGACTCCATTTTTGGTCAATGGTGATCGTCATTCGTTTTGTTGACTTTCAGCTACATTGAGAGATTTTTGTTACACAAACGTTATGATCTTTTTTTTGGTGTGTATTAAAAGCAATCGGCTGTAAATGTCGCACTCCTAGTGGGTACACTCCTTGTACTTTGCGTGTACGAGATCTTTAAATTGTTGTTCACGTACTCAATTTTAGTTTAATCAGTCCGTGAAATTAACGGAATAACCCAAATTTCTCGAAAACCGAAATGACACCTATTAAAAATTATTCGTCCATTCATTAGTCTATTATCATCTTTAAATAACAATATATATAGAAAACAACTCTGACTTATACTGAATCATTATTTCTTAGATACACCGAGTGGCACTTCAAAAGAGAATCGAACTAACAGAGGAATATCGAAGGGATACGTCGGTATTCAGACCAGAAGAGCTGATTTTTGTTGACGAGAAGTTTTGTGTAAGTATAAACATTTTTGGCTAGTAGATCGATAATTATAGCTCACGTAAGTTTAGTTTAATTTATTACTAGTTTTTAGTTTATTATTATTTCGCGCTATTTTACATGTATAATTTTCAAAATAATTTATCTAAATAAATAAATGACAATAACATTACAAGAAGAAAAACGAGTTAAATGTAAAGAAAAGCATGTTTAGTGCTAGAAAGCTAGATTGACTTGATTGATWTTTTGCTTTAAAAAATGTTACTGCACATACAAGTAGAATCGTTCAAACGTTGCTTCTAARACTGTCGCTGGGATTAAGTTGGCATTTGTATTTCTGTGCCATAATATGCAGTATAAAGTAACCGTTATAAATTCAAATTTCGCATTCTGATCGGCCATTGCTGGGAGCACGCGCGTGCATTATAAGAGCACACAACATGATCGCGCGCTTTCTATTTTGTCATTCGTTAAAAATAACGGCTACTTTGCTAAATCTTAAAATTTCTATCGGTTTCGCGTTAAATCTCTTGTGCTTTATAACGGAACAGCAGGCGCGCGCGTTTTCTATTTCTTCGATACTAGCACTCTTCAATATAAATTTCAACTTCAATTTAGTTTTTCCCKTKCTGTGATTGGTCGAGCGACCATTGATTATGAGACCATATTCRTGACTTGAGTGGTGATTATAAGTTTGGCCAAARTTTGCMAGTGCGAAAGTAATGCCGAAACACGTCTTTTACAATGCTATTCAAATCTAAAACTATTTGCAWCRGGGTAAATATTCACTGCGCCTGAGGTGAATAATCGTTTCAACGATATGTACRAAAGGAAAGAAAAGTAAAACGATTTAAAAATATATCTTATATAATAAACTTAAGAAACTTAAGAAACATAAGATTTAAAAACATACACTAAGCAATTGTAAAAAARACATATCCCTTTCTGATCAACTTTAATGGTCTTCATATTGCTTGAAACAGGATAGACGAATATCTCGCAATTATGGATACAGCCCGKTTGGACAAAGAGCTACARGAAGTTACGCTAATCCACATGGTCCAAGACTAACTGTTATTGCAGCAATTTCCTATCAGGGTCTTTTTGGTCTCAAGATTTCAAAGAAGAGATTTGATGCCCGAAAATTCAGAGCTTTCATAAGMAATGACTTGGTGCCAATACTTCAACCTTATARTGGGGTGAATTCAAATTCAGTTGTYGTCATGGGTAATAAAAGGCAAAATTAAATTGTTTTAGATTAATCATTAGGATTTCTTTTTCATTTGAATTTAATAATGATGCTCTACTTATGTATATGTTTATTTGTTTCATTTMGATAACCATGCAGCACATCATGTTCGAGAGATCAGACAAATGATCGAGAACGCTGGTGCACTTCTTTTTTATCTTCCGTCTTACAGCCCAGAACTCAACCCTATCGAGGAAGTTTTTGCCAATGTCAAGTAATGGTTACGTGAAAATGACCAAATGCTGATGATTACAGATGATCCGTCGTATTTAGTCKTCAGGGCGTTTCTAGAAATAGACCGAGAGGCAGTAAAAGCTATGTACCGACATGGCGGATATTAGTCAAAAATACTTATTATACACTGTAAAGTATAGACACTTTCAACTGTTTCCCAATTTCAGACCACGTGATATTCCCCAGAGAATCATTTAAACCTGACGGTACCTTTGAGAAGACACATTACTGTTGATACCACTCAAACAAATCAGCTTGGCGAAATGTTTTGAATAGTAAAACATTACATCATAGATAAATAAAGGTCTATAATTACATTTATCATTTATTTGTTATTGAAACTTTGTTGTGATGCTGTCCCAAAACGAAAACGAAACAATAGGAATCATAAGTCAGTTACAGCAATCTTATACTGAGGTTTAATATTCTAATGCTATTGCTCATTATTATTATCTTAACGAAAAACAAGTCAAATATTTGCAAGGTGACTCCTTTACAAGGCATTTAGATCCCGAAGGATAGATTCCTTTTGAGCATTAAATTCTTGTGTGCTCAGCACACCCGAGTCCTTCAAATCTCCCAAGCATTTTATTTGCTGCAAGAGCTCTGTTCTTTTACTCTGCTTCTGTGAAAAACAATATAAGACACAAACATAGAAAAATTAAATAAAAGAGAGAGAGAGAGAGAGAGTTTTAGAAATTCACTTACTTGCGATTGCTCTATGTTAGAGGAGCCTTGAGTGAAAATTTTGGCTGCCTCGGTTAAGGCAATAGTTAATTCCGATTTTCTTTCTTTTGATGACCTTGTCCTCTAAAAACAGGATAGTCGGGTGGGCTGGAAGAGCCTTTTTCGTGTCTTCCAGTAATCTGTTGGTAACACAAAAGCAACCAAAAAATCCTATATATGTAACAGAAATAATAAATATGAATTTCAAAATTATCAAGCTCAGCACATCGTATTATCTTACGATTGCTTCAGCCCATAGCCTATACTCTTCAATTGACCATTTGTCTTCATGATTTTCTTGAAGCTCGTGCACTATATTTTCTTTCCTATCAGTATCAGTGTCATTCCGCTATTTCAATGTTCCTTGTTTCTCTTTCTTTTCTGCCTTTGCGCTTAGTAGCGGAACTTTCGGACGAAGTTGTTTTCTGTTCCTTATCTGATGCTTTTGGTTCTTAAAATAATAAAGAAAGAATTAAAAGCAGGGGAGCTTCGAGGGAAATACTCTAGAATTTCTATCACTATGGAATATGGAATCAATATAGCGTCGCAGGCTCTTAAACTTTTTGTGTCATGGCATTAGTGCAACATGAATATTCACATTTAAAAAGAATTCTGCATCTACAATAAAAGGTAGCTTAACTCTTAATCCTTACAACTTTGTCATTTCAATACATGCGATAAAAGATCAAAACCAAAAAAACTATTTAACGCAATAAAAAAAATCATGCATGCAGCAACTCGGGTTCTTTAATCTCGCATCTTGATAGGGGTTAACGTGATTGGACTTTACCCGTGAAACAGAAACAAAAGGAAATAATATGGTCAATTAGGCTGCTGACTATTTCATGGTCCTTTGTGTTCCTGGCCTCCCAGCGGTACAAAAGAATTGTGGAAATACAATAGAAACAAGTTTTGACACGGGAAAACGTGTCAAATGTGCTGTGCACATTGGATACTTTGAATAGAGTACAAGACTATTTGGGATTTAGTCATTGTAAGACAGAAGAAAGTCCGTGGATTCGGTTTGAATATTTTTTACGGTCAAATTGAACCAGCATAAACGAGTCTTGTTCGCAAACCCCAANACCACCACAATCACCATTACCACTATTGATCATCACCACCACAATCACCATTACCACTATTGATCATCATCACCACAATCACCATTACCACTATTGATCATCATCATCATCATCATCACCACCACAATCACCATTACCATCATCATCACCACAATCACCATTACCACTATCATCATCACCACCACAATCACCATCATTACCACTATCATCATCACCACCACAATCACCATTACCACTATCATCACCACCACAATCATTACCACAATCACCATTACCACTATCATCATCACCACCACAATCACCATTACCACTATTGATCATCATCATCATCACCATCACCACCACAATCATCATTACCACTATCATCATCACCACCACAATCACCATCATTACCATTATCATCATCACCACCACAATCACCATTACCACTATCATCATCACCACCACAATCACCATCATTACCATTATCATCATCACCACTACCACTATCGATCATAATCATCATCATCACCACCACAATCACCATTACCACTATCAGCATCACCACCACAATCACCATCATTACCATCATCACCACCACAATCATCATCACCACCACAATCACCATTACCACTATTGATCATCATGATCATCATCACCACCACAATCACTACCCTTATCATCATCACCACCACAATCACCATTACCACTATCATCATCACCACTACAATCACCATTTCCACTATTGATCATGATCATGATCATGATCATCATCGCCACCACAATCATCACCATTACCACTATCATCATCAACACTACCACTACCACAATCTCTACGACGACGACCACCACCACACCATTATCATCCTGTTTATTTTAATGTTAAAATTTCGTAGTTTTCTGGGGTTTTTTTTGAATGCAAATGCCTAACATGGCTTTCTTCCAGCAGCTAAACACAGCCTGTAGTTGTAACAACAAGTGCTACCAAAAAGATGGCCCGAAAAAAAAAGGGTTGTCCTTGTAAAACCGCATACAAATACTGCCACGAAACCTGCAAATGTGGAACACCATGTACAAACAAGGGCTAATATAATAATGTAATAATGTAATAGAGACAGTTGATTTATATTGCTTCTTTGAGATATCAAGGTAGTACATTTGTAAAGTTAGGACAATCTCGTATCCAGAGTCGCCAAATGCTTTCTTGAATTGCGTTCAGACGCCATTCAAATACCATGTTACCCTGGACACATACCACTAATATGAGCCAATAGCTCACTATGTTACCCTGGACATATGCCACTAAGAGTCCATAGCTCACTATGTTACCCTGGACACATACCACTAAGAGTCACTAGCTCACTATGTTGCCCTTGACACATGCCACTAAGAGTCAATAGCTCACTATGTTGCCCTGGACACATACCACTAAGAGTCAATAGCTCACTATGTTACCCTTGACACATACCACTAAGAGTCAATAGCTCACTATGTTACCCTGGACACATACCACTAAGAGTCAATAGCTCACTATGTTACCCTGGACACATACCACTAAGAGTCAATAGCTCACTATGTT